AATGCACTTCTAACTTTATACCAGCTGGCTTCTTCTCCGGATGAAAGATCTACCATCAACCGCCACCCTCCCCTTCCCCTTGAGGAGAATGAAAGGCACGCTTGGACATATTTACGCGTCAAAAAAGTCTACCTTTGAAAGAATTAACTCTAGAAACAGACTTCTTTCGGAAAAGTCCGATTATTGTTTGCTGAGCCTGAAACCAGGAATTGGACCAATATTGTGATGTTGGACCAATATTGTGATGTTTAACACAAAAAATATTGTGGAAAGCCGCTGTCCCTCCCACAAATCTGATACAACCTCTGCATCAGAAGTTGGTCAGTTCGCGTTTCTCCGTGGGTGAGGCCCCTGTACGACTGAATAAGATACAAAATTTGAACTCGAGTGACCCCAAAGAGCGGTGCATCTCGTTAAACTTCCCGTATCGATTCGCAGAAACATGCAGCAACGCCAATTTTAATTGTGCCCATCTGGAGAGCCAAAAAGCAACCTGGCGATTGTATTCAAATCTTAATTCCGTTTTCGACGAAATCGACTCTTGTCCGGCCGATTGTGACTCATACACTCAAAATTCACGCCCTTTGCTTCCGAGGAGAGAGGGGGAGGGGGCGAAGAGGAGGAGGATCAGACGAAGCGAAGGCACACTGATTATACGAGTTGTCGATGGTCGGTTAGTTTCTTCGTACCTATTCGTCTTTGTCTCTGCTGGGATCCATAGCCCCCCTTCCCCGCAAGCCATTAAGATTCCCGGTGTACTTTTTTTTTGGACATAGGTTGGCAAAACTGACCGACTGGTCCGTTGGGTTTTCGTGAAACTTGTTTTAATTCTCTTACACGCCTCGTGACTCCTCCATTTCTCCCACAGACCTTGAAGCTCTCTTTTCAGGCCTATTGCCGTAAAGTCTACAGCACGACTCGGAAAGCTGGCTCCTTGCTCAGCGGAAATTTATAGTGAGCGTCGAAAGTAAAGCAGAAAACAAGCATCTCAATTTTTATGTTTAAAAAGTTCCTCCCTTAAATAATTTTTAGATAAAAGAATCAGGCAATATGAATAGCCCTTGGAGTTATTCGAGTGAAAATCAAGTGAAATTTTACGAACTGAACAAGGTTGGAAAATTGAATGCACCCAACTGATGAGACTAAGTTTTCTGGCAACACATCAGGGACACTTCACACGCACCAGCTCCTACAAAGGTAATTGAGACAGCACCAGTAGAAAAAGAGTGCTTGAGTGCATTTTAGAGATCCGCGAATCATAGTAGTTTTCTACATATCCTAAAATTTGAAGGAGTTTTTACGGCTATAGTCGAGCCAGTTGCGAACGAGCCTGTCATAAAGTCGGACTCAAGGACACGGAAGGCGGAAAAAAACAATGAGATCATTACATTGCAGCTTGAAGAGGTTCATTTTGCATCATTCGGTGCAAATAAAATCCAAATGTTCCAAACAACCATTGATTAGTTGTTTTTTATGAACTCAGGCCACTGGTGTTCCTATTCGATGGTCCTGAAGTAATTAATAACATACGACATATTTTTTACAAGCTTTGGAAGTTGAGTCCCGCTACACCGGGCTCTAGATCAACCTTATGTTGTTTTCAGGCTCGGACTGGCCGTAAGGCCAACCTGCCATTGGCAGAAACGCCCTCTTGGCGCGCCGAGAACGAGCCCCTCTGACAGATAGCAAAATAAGAAGCGAAAAAAAATTACGACCGAGAATATATGCGGAAAATGTTTTAAATTAACGGAAGAAGAGAGAGTTAGGAGTAAAGAAAGGTGCTTATACACATCCTAGCGGTGAGCAGAGGTCCAAGAACTACTTTCTGAGGCTTCAACGCTTTCCTGTAAAATTTTCACTTTTTTGATGACATACAGGCGCTTAGTCATCCCCCTCCTTCATTCGATATCTGCAACTCCCTTAAAAGCGATGGTCGGTTCGATTTTTAGACGTACGCACCCATTACAGACCTCTTGAGAGACCTTTAAACATATTTCTTTCTTATCAAAATGACTACTGATTTTGACATAACATAGCATATCTCGGGCGAACTTAACCTTAATTCATCTCGAAATTAAAAAATAAGAGACATCTAAAGTGTAAACGCGATACAACTATTCGCGCAAGATGGATGTCCACGTTGCATAAAGACGCGATGGCGTGAGTCGTGAACTCGTAATGATCTGCTCTATGCTACTAGTTTGAACACCATTACGAATAAGAAAAACGCAAACAAACACCATTTGGAAATAAAGCGAGGGAAAGGATGCGCATTAACAACGGCGCAGAGATACAACTATTCGTACTTGATGGACGTCCGTGCTGTATCTGAAAAATTGAAGGCGCGATGACGCGAAGCGTGAGCTCTCAATGCTCTGCTATATGCTGTCAATGAGGTGTCACTCCTATTCGGGAGATAAGTTAAAAAAGAGGCCCGAACACATCTCTGCTACCTTCGGCTGTGCTACTCACGTGGTGCTTCAAGCACCATTACGAATAAGACAAACGCAAACATACACAATAAAATAAAGCGAAATAAAGTGAGGGAAAGGATGCGCATTAACGACGGCGCAGAGATACAACTATTCGTGCTTGATGGACGTCCGTGCTGTATCTGAAAAATTGAAGGCGCGATGACGCTTAGCGTGAGCTCTAAATGCTCTGATATTTACTGTCAATGAGGTGTCGCTTAAATTCGGGAGAAAAGTTAAAACAGAGGCCCGAATACGTCTTTCCTGTCTTCGGCTGTGTTAAAACTCGATATTTCTTCTTTTATCAGGTTCTATTCTGATTTTTTTTTAGGATTGGTTTGCAGACGCACGTCTTAAGCTCGTGTAAACCGCAGCAGTGGCCCGGTTCTTTTGGAAATAATGGTGCTTGGATGCGTCTAGTGGCTTTAATTTTTTTTGTTTTTTTAGTTTGTCGATTACTTCAATACGTTCAATTTTTCAATTTTTACTGTGTACGATAAATAAACTTTGAGCTTGAAAGTAGCGTAAACCTGTGCTGCTTTGCCAAACTTCTCTGAATCTCTATCCACATAGGGGATGCCCTACCAGGAAATATCACAATACGCCCCTTCAACCGGCCAAGAGTCTACGCCCTCAGATGCGAGCCCGTCCGACCCTGGTTGTTTTACATTTCTGACTGGGCTTTTTCCTAACCCTCCAGAAAAAACATAAATATATTGAGATGCGCCCTCAAATTTTTTCTGAATTGACCATGGAACCACGACTTTGCTGCATTTGTTATTCTAAGGGCAGAGAAGGTAAGGAGCCGTAGAACACCAAAGTTGCGATTTATTTAAACTATTCAAGCATAATTCGCAAAATTGACAGTGTCGCGATAAAAATCGGTAATATTTTACAGCATCAGCACAATAGGTAACGCTGGAAGTAAGTTACGGTGCAAAAATTCCTGGATAGACGATCAAATTCCGAGCAAAGTAGACGTGCTGATGACTGATGGTCACTATCTACCATCAAATTTTGACGGGCCTTACTATTTTGTTCAAAGTAAGATCAGAATGGAGTGCCACCATTCATCATTTCCTGCCTCAGGAAACATTTCTGCCAAGTTTTCATTTTAAAATTAAGCACATTAACGAGTTTAAGACTGATGACTCCCGACACTTTGGTGGTAATTGGTTCGGGAATTTGATCGTCTATCGAGACCTAAAGAAACAAGCAAAACCTCCTTATTTAGTGTTGAATGCAACGATTACTCATTTGAACTCATGGATGCAACTATTCGAGCTCCGCGGATGTCCGTGTTGCATACGCACGTAGTTGAAGGCGTTTTGACCGTGCAGGCACTCAATCGCTTCATCCGCGGCGCGGCGTCAACAACGGCGGGCTCTACTGGAGAGGTCCAAAATAGCGAAGTGCTATTAATTTTTCGTTTGCACTACGAAGGTGCACGAATAGCTGTATACAGGTGTAGGATTTGAGTATCTTTAATGCTTCAGTTTTGATAACTCGGCGTGGCGTGCTGAGCATGATTTGTAATTATTCATGTCTGAGAGATGTCTCTGAAGTAAAAATAAAGCATTGCTGAAGAATCTCACGGAATTTAGGACAAAAACGATGATCATTCGTCTTTCGACGAAAAATTTGTATATGTTGAAATGCGACAGGAAATCTATTCACCATCGCAAGCCTCAATACTCTTATATGATTTCAGCATAATAAAATCTGATAAATATATTATTAGTGAAATTTATGCTTTCCCCTCCTAGTATGTGACTATGTGAGTCGTGTCTACTAAAATGTTAAATTATTGTCGGTAGTACATTATTTGTTGTTTGTGATATCCAGTTTAAAATTAGTCATATCCAGTTTAAAATTGGTTTTTCAAATCCTCCATCACAAATTCTTTTTATTCATGTCTAGAATAATTGAGTTTTTCCATTCTCTGAAATTTCCCTGACTTTTTCTGCATTTTACGAGAACATTCCGTAGTGAGAACCCAGGACCCTCATTCATTTTCCTTTCAATTCTTCGCGAAGATTCAAGATTTCACTCATATTCTGCGAAAAATTCAACTTTTTTCTTGTTTCAACCTTTGAAGCCGAGTCAGCACGTGAATCACCAGTTTTAAGACAAATTAAATTTTCTCAGAGCGGATAGGGAGAAATCCCAGGTTTTCAGCACCAATTCCCTGGCATCTTCCCTAATTTTCTTGGTTATTTTCCCTGATGATTCTCTTAGTTTTTCCGGGTCCTAGCCACCATGGTTGTAGTAAAATATGCTTACAGACCACGTATAGTGTTCATTTTCATGATACACTTGTGCCGGCAAGAAGATGGATTCGTCCCGGGTGGGGAACCCGCGAGAGGGGAACAGGGGAACACTGCTTGCTATGTTGTTCAAGTAGGTGTATATTCCCCTCCGAAATCCTCGTGGCGGTCTGCTCTGCCCCCACCACTGGTATCGCACGATTGGGAACTCGCTGGCGGCTTCCCCTCTTCCTCCAGCCATGTTGTTTTGTTTGTCAGTCTGCCGACGGATGAGAACTTGCGCTGACGTAAGCCGTGCGTGTCGTTTTCTTCCGTTCTTAGATTCTCCTCTGTGCACGAAAAACAAGGAGGTTATAAAATAGTTATCAGTTTCGAAATTCAATTTTCCAGTCTCAGTAAGGTCGTTCGTATCGTGTGATTAGTTCGTGCCCCGTTTAACTTGGATTTTAATCGGTTTCATTGTTCTTTTAGCTTAAAAGGTATGCATCAACATATTGTTCCTCTCTTGTGATTACCTAGTGTTTCCTCTCCGAGGAAAGTTGAAATTCCAGTGAATATCAATTTTTCAAATCTCTGAATAGTTTTAAGTATATCATCATCATTGCAATGTGTGTTTTACTCGTTGGGAAAAGTCTTGTATTCGCATACTTTTCCAGTTATTGAATATCTCTTGATTACCTCGCGTGGAATTCCATGGTTTTCAGTCCATCCGTTCAGTTTTCACCTGTGAATTGCCGTAGATCATCTCAATTTCATCATGTATTTTATTTCGCGATTTTATCAATATCCCCTCTACGTTGTTCATTTTGTGATTTTCGAATGGAATACCTTTCTAGTTTTTGGATACATATTTGGATTTCTGAACCAAAAATAATTACGTTTGGTCTTGAAGGTATTTATTTAATTTTAAGGTTAGCCGTAGTAGTACATGTTCTTTTCAATATAAAGCTACCTATGCGTCGCCGTCACTTGCACTTCAATCAAGGTTGAATGTATAGTGTGCTTTTCCCTAGATTGTGGAATATTAAGCGCTTCTATGTCATAGTTTCTCACAGTATGAGCGATAAGATTTTTCGCCTCTCAAGCTTGAAGACCTTGCTGCTTTTCTATTTTAATTTATCTTACTCTATTCCATCTGAATATTTCCTCTGAAGCTCCCGGTACTATTACTTACTCTTACCGCTTCATTTGTTTTAGACTCAATGTAAATTCAGCCAGACAGGATATTTTCTCAGTTTCATTCTTGTGTTAATTTGGCTCCCCCGGCTTTCTTTGTACAAGTGTGAGGCAAATTTTATGGCATCCTAGCGTAGCCTGATTTTATGGAGTGTAGGTACCATGAGTGAAAGAAGTCTCGGTTAATAAGGTGCTGAACAATTGACGAGGCAGCCCTGAATGCCTGTGTTATGGGTTGGGGTTCTTATTATTTGGGATTTTTCCAAGACTAAGAATTGTTCTCTTCATCCTCTGTAAAATTGAAATAGGGACTGATTACTAAATCGTTCGATTGGCTCAATTAGTTACTTACGTGATCTCTTTTCTGCAGTATCTCTATTTCCTAAGTTTCTCATGATTCTATTTGCTGCAGTGTTTTATGAGAGGATGGTAAGCAAGTGTGCTTTTTCCGCCTGGTAATTTTGAACGCTAGGGTGGTTTTGGTGGAATTTTTTTGTTTTGGTTTAAAGAGCTAGGTTGTCATCAGATGCATGGAGTTTTCATTACCCTATGAAATCTGTTCAGATTTTATGAATAAGGGTTATGGATTACAAAAAATAATCAAAGTCAGCTTCTTCGGATAGGTCATGTTTTTAGAGCGCTTTCCTTGCAGATCTTAGCCTAAAATCTGGTTTTTATGTTTTTTAGTAAGGAATGAATGCGATTGCATTTTACCTAAAGGAACTGGGAGCATTGCAATGTTGCAAAGATTGTGCAACTTCATTTGTCTTGGGAGAAAAAACCAGATCATCCATTGACAGAACTTTCTATCTCATTTGCTATAAACTGTAAATTTAAGACAAAAATTACCATGTAATTTCATGTTTTTTGATGATCATGTTTTTTATTGCAAACTTTACAACACTGTATAGTTTTTAGTTGCCCAGTGATTTCTCCCAGCTGTTCTGTGTATGCTGTTAATTATATAAAAAGTTATTGCGATCCAGTTTGGTTTCTTCCGGTATTTGAGATTGTTTATTTACTGATTAGTTTAGCTATTGAAAATAGCTCCAGGATTAAAATGCACAATCTCACAATCTCAGCATCATTGCAATGCTTTTGGTTCCTTATTGCAAAATGCAATCCAATACTTGAAATGAAGGCAGACGGTGATAATTCCCAAACATCTCATTACCGAATTCTTTCATGCTAGGCTCATCAGAATTGAAATTATCCATTATCGTGCAATGTTGTTACCTGAGAACCTCCAAATCATCTTCCCTTTACCAATTCTTGAAAACACTAATTTTAATTGCATCAAAGCTTCAGTGTTAAATGAATTTTTATTCCAAAGCCTGAAGTGGGGAAATTATAAGTTTTCAATTGATCATTCAGAACATTCAGAGGTGTGCATTCACAACATAAAGCTGTATTCTCATATCCAGATCCCTAAAATTTGCCAATCTTTTACTTATTCAGTGCTTTTGAAACACTCATGTTTCTTGACGAGTACTTAAGAAGTGGACATATTTTGTATCCTAAATTATAAGTAGGTAGGTACTTAGTAAATGTTGTCACCAATTTGTAACAGCAAGAATACTTATTCTCGCTGTGTTGAGAGATAATTCCCTACCAGCACCTGTGAAACATTTTTGAGTCTTCCTCAATTTGCTGAAAATTAGGTTCTTTCAGTTGGGCTTAATTTAAGAGGCAAAATTCAATGATGATGAGTATACATAGGTTATCTTGTCCCTGAAAATTACCTTCAAAACATGCCAGCATAATTGAGTATACCTATATGTAAGTAATACGCGATTAATGATAAAGTTCAAAAATCTACTTCAAGAGAATTTTAAGTGCCGCTGATTATCTCACCAAGTCTGATGAAGTACATTCTCCTCTCTTTTGCTCATCACAGATTTTCCAAATTAATTACATATTTTAGTGGGATTCTACACCGTAAGACAGTAGTGTCCGTAAGACAAAAAAGATGTCAGTCGGAGGCGCTCAGCAAAGCATAGTCCTGGAGGATGGTCAACATATAGAAAGTTGCGAACAATACAAGTACCTGGGGGTGAACCTGACTTCGGATGGGAAGCTGGATCAGGCCATTCGGGACCGTAATCTTCTAGGAAGGAAAGCCATCGCCATGCTTAATGGGATCCTTTGGGACCAAAGGATTTCCAAAGACAACAAGAAGAGGATTTATAACTCGGTTGTCAAGCCTATTATCACCTATGGCAGTGAAGTGTGGCAGTTGAAGAAGCGGACCCAAGAAATGCTCAAGGCGACCGAGATGGATTTCTGGCGAAGATCGGCTGGAATCTCGAGGAGAGAACGTGTCAGGAATGAACGTGTCCGAGAGATAATGGGCGTTGAGGGGACGATTGTGCACGATATCATGACCAAGCAATTGGTATGGTATGGGCATGTGCAGAGAATGGCTGATACCAGGTTGCCGAAGAAGGTGTTGGAGTGGGTCCCCCCAGGTAGGCGACGGAGAGGGCGTCCAGCCAAACGGTGGGTAGAGGGCATCCATGAAGAGATGGAGAGATGCCAGCTTCCGGAGGATCTCTACCATGACAGATTCCTGTGGAGAATAGGCGTCGCAGAGCGCCCTAGCGCGCCGTAAAAGCGGCTCATACATACACATAGTGGGATTCTAGGCGGAGAGGAAAAATGCTTTGCAATTTTTAAAGATAGGTACTTTGTATTTTTTTTCTCAATATTTAAAATTTCTGCCAGTTAGATACTTTATAAATTCATTGGAGAAGAACATGTTATTATTTACTTAATTAGGGAAATTTAATAGGTACCGGCTCCTATTCTATTATTCTGAATTTCCTTTCCTTGTCGTCAGTATTGGAAAATTAGATAAAAAAAATAGTAAGAGGAACTTTGTGGCACTAGGTATTTTTTATACTTTTTTATTTTTTTTTTTATTTCTCTCCAAATTTTTAAAAATTCCTCTCTGTGAATATAATTTGAACATTATTTCGATCTTTTAGAAGATTAAGTCATTAAAAATTTCACTGAGCAGATGCCTATACCTTACTGAATAATATTTTAGGTAGTTCATGCAATCCGTCGATACCACATTTTGTAAAGATCCTGATCTCAATGTGTAAATGACTCCATGAATCTTTTTTCGCTCTTGCCCTAAAAATCATTCACATAAATTGAGTTAACTGAGTAGATAGAAGAAATACATATTTGGACTTTTGTTTAGTGCACCAGTACACCTACAGACAATTTCAGGATGGATATCTTACTAGTGAACTTATAATACATCATTGTAATCCACAAGCATGTATGTATTTTGAAAATGAATATTTCGTTGGAATCAAAATTACTTACCCATTTTTTTTGGAGGGGGGGGGGTGAGTTTTTGAATGGTGTTGCTTTTGTAAAAATGTTGCACATTAAAATTGCCAAACTATGATACCTAGGTATCTTTGTCTTAACATACAAAGGGGCTCAGTAGATACTTGAAAAGAAGACACCAGAATTGAACTTATAGGTTGTTGGTAGGAAATTAAATCACCTAAGTATCGGCTACCTGAGGCATACCTACATTAAAGAATTCTGCTTTGCCGTTCACTTTTTTACCTTTTGAATATGTATCATTCACTCTCACGCTCCCCATTTCTCTTATACCGAAGACACCTTTGAGATCTTTTACAAAATGTCTACTGAAAGTGAATTAGGCCTTTTGAGAAACGTCGAGAAGTTTCTTGCATTAAGATTTTAACTGCCCTCCTTTTTCAGCCGATTCTTGGAAATTATCTTCATTTCCTCCGGTCGAAATTACCAGGATTATGGTCAAAATCATTTGCATTCGTAGTTCGTACCTCACAGGATTTTTTTAAATTTTCGAATCCGAAAAATATAAGTGAAGTAATTACGTATCATCAGGGAAAAAATATTAGTTTTTATGCAATCAAAGCAAATAAACCAGCAACCAAAATTTGCGCAGGGGACAAGGCGTCGAGAGTTAAAAGGCAATTTGGACAAGAGATGATCTAATTCTAAATGGACGTTTGTCAGAGGTCCGCAAGATGAATACTTCTGTCAAGAATTGATATATTTTCTGTCTCAAATATTTTTTTCTCTCAAAGATTACAATCCATATCATATTCAATTAATTCACACAACTATTCGCACCTAGGTAGTCTTGATTGTTCGAGTTGAAACCTTCTGGTCGACTTTATCTATTTTTTCTTTGTTACACGGTCCTGCATTAACCGCACGGCTAGGTCACTCTGTGTCTCATACACTGGAAAAAAAAAAACACATTGGATCTAGAGTCCAGACTCTTAAAAAC